ATCCTCCTCAGTTTGGCGGAGGTGGTTATTTGTTACACACCACGCCTACTAGAAGAGCTGCCACGAATGGATTCGGGAAGATGATAGGATCACGAAAAATAATCCGATCTTGCTGCGGTGCTTTGGGGATTGTAAGTTTGCATGGCGGAGATGTAGTATGATGCCAAGAATCCAGCCTAATCCTGTTTAACGATCCCAGGTTAAAGATGAGCTTGGTTCTCAGGTCCGTCTCTCGTTCAACTGTTGAGTTCCTTAAACCCAACTCCCGGTTGACCCCAGTTGGCAATTCAGCTGGCTGCCTTTCAAGTACAGTAACTAAGGTAGATAAAGTCATGGTGCATCACCGCATAGAGTGAGCGAGACTATCACCAAGTAAGGTAAGGTAAGAGACGGCCAGAAGTTGTCGGATACTTGAGACGTCACGGACGTCACCTTCGGATCCGTTAAGCATGGGGTGGGTTACACACCTCGGTGAGGGCGGCGAGGTCACCCCACACTAGATGGACTTCATGGTCCGGCAGTCGGCAGAACCCTGCGTACCGGCCCTGCACCACCATTACCTAAGCGAACAACCTCACTTCGTCCATCCTCTCACGCCTGCCTAGGTATTATTGAGAAAGTTTGGTTCGGTTTTAATTCTCCATAAATCTTTTCTGATCTTACCTCAGATACGACCGCCCGGATCAAGTCACACGAAAGGGGGAAAATCAAAAGAGAAAAAGGGTGGCGTCATGGCGGCCCAGTTCGAGAACCTGCCAGACGAGCTCAAGCTGGCGACGGCGGCGCACGTCAAATACGTCCAGAGCCTTGATACCCGCAAAGACGAGTACGACTACTGGCTGACGGAGCACCTGCGCCTCAACGGCCTCTACTGGGGCCTGGTAGCGCTGCACCTCCTCGGCCACCCGGAGGCTCTCCCGCGGGACGAGACGATTGATTTCGTGCTCTCGTGTCAGCATGGGAGCGGGGGTTTCGGGGCCGCGCCGGGCCACGACGCGCATATGTTGTACACTGTTAGTGCCGTTCAGATTCTGGTCATGATTGATGCGCTGGATGAGTTGGAGGCGAGGGGTAAGGGTCAAGGGAAGGCGCAGGTTGGCAAGTGTAAGTCCATTAAAGCACTCTCACTACGTCACAGGTTTTGGGGGCAGTGGGCTAACACTCGCCATCTCCAGTCATTGCGGACCTCCAGAACCGTGAAAGCGGTACCTTTGCGGGAGACGAATGGGGCGAGGAGGACACGCGCTTCTTGTACGGCGCCTTCAACGCCCTCTCCCTCTTGGGCCTGCTCTCCCTCGTGGACGTCGACAAGGCCGTCGCGCACATTGTCGCCTGCACGAATTTTGACGGCGGGTACGGCGTCAGCCCGGGCGACGAGTCTCACTCGGGCCAGATCTTCACGTGCGTTGCGGCGCTCGCCATCGCGGGGCGTCTGGACCTCGTGGAGGCGGATAAGCTGGGCCGGTGGCTCAGCGAGCGGCAGGTTGCGGGGGGCGGGTTGAACGGCAGGCCGGAGAAGGACGAGGACGTGTGTTACAGCTGGTGGGTGTTGAGCAGTCTGGAGATTATCGGGCGGACGCACTGGATTGATCGGGGCAAGCTTGTTGCGTTCATACTGAAGTGTCAGGATCAGGAGTTGGGCGGGATTTCGGATCGGCCGGGGAATACGGTTGATGTGTGGCATACGTGCTTTGGGATGACGGGGTTGAGTTTGTTGGGGTATCCGGGGACGGTGGTGGTTGATCCGGTGTATTGTATGCCGAAGCCGACGATTGATCGGGTGCTTGGGAGGAAGTCGTCGTGAACTGTCGAGACGGAATATAGGAAGGGTTAGCGGGTGGATGATGGCTTAAGTTCAGACGCCTGGTTCTCGATATATGTGTTCACATAAGTAGACTTGTGGCCTGCCTTAGTAGTAGAGGTATGAGAATGCGGGTCGAGAAGGGAGCAATAGTGTCGGCTTGTCCACAGTCTACGTAGCCTCATTTACGACCTGCTGGGAGATAGCCCCTGGGATACTTGAAAGCTTAAGATACCCATGAGAGCAAGTTAATGATACGTAAAACAATCCATCATCAGCCTCATAATACAACACAAGTCAGTCCAGTCACCGTTGCGCCAACTTGTTCTTAAAGTTGGAAGGTAAATCAATCTACAAGTTCCCGTTCCTCTCCATTCACACTCCCTACTGCTCTACTTCAGTCTAAGGCTTAGTCAAATATCTGTTGCAAGTGTCATATCATCCTCGTCAAATGTACTTTAGGCATATGTAGTTGCTTCTGACCTCATGGCCATTGAAAACATAGCCTCATCTCGTCCAGAAGTACCACCTGCACTAAGGTACCTCAAGGTTGAACTGATACGCCTGGAGCGCTTCACTAGCTCGCCCGCTGAACCCTCATCTCGAAGCCTTGTAAGGTACCAAGACTTCTCACACCGCCCGACCCTCATCCCATATCCTATTTCGGCATCAAACCACCCAGTCACGTGCACTGCCGTCGGTGTAGGCTTAGCTTCGTGGTGATGCCCTCCACTCCGGAAGACCACCCACCCGCTCACCGAGCGGCCCCACCACACGCGTCTGTCGGCCTTTCTCTCGTCTCTCATACTTCGCCCTCCGCCTCCATCACAACAAACCCATCTTCCTCCTCCACGCCGTCGGAAGTCTCGATATCTTCGAACTCTTGGAGATTTCACCAACAACCACACCATTCTCTTGGACTTTGATCGTCTCATTCGGTCGCCTGTCCAGGTATTCCTTCCTCTCTGCTTTCGATTACAACACTGTCCCGACACTTCCACTTCTTTCGAAATACACCCTTTGTACGACACCGTCGCATCTGTATTTTCTTCCCGTCCCAGATTCGTCTGTACGACCATCATCAGATCGTCTTCGCCCTTTGCGAAATCCCAGTTCCAAGCACTGCTTCTGGACCAGCATCCTCATCCTCCTCCCGCTACCCATCGGGGGAATTTCAGCAATTCGCAGATACGCATTGACAAACAGCACTTGAAATACCAGATTCTACTTCCACACCCGTTTCTCAGGAAGTTCAGGGACTAGGTACGTGGTGTTGTTTATTTTCATGTCAAAATCATCACCGAACACCTTCTTTGGCTTCATTTTTTGCGTTCCCGTCTTTGTTTTCCCTTCACGCAATACTTTCCAGATTGGTCCGTCTCTTCTGTCTCTTTCTGTTGCAAATCATTGTCCTTCGCCTTGATCTCACTGCTCTTGTTCTTCCTGGTGAACATCACCATCAAATGTTGTTCTCGTCACGGTCTACTTTTCATCGAGCGATCGCTTTCGTCGCAACGCTTTGATCGTCCCAACCGTTCATTCCTCAGATGCCCCGTCCGAGCAAGGTTCTCATCGCAAGTTTTCTGTTCTATGATTCGTCTTCAAATACCCTTTCCGTCTCAACACTTGGGCATCTGAAGATTCCTCACGATGTGGGTGATACTGTCTATTCTGAGTGGTTCGTTCAGACACGTTTGCAAGCGCAGGTGCTGGAAAACAATTCCCTGACTTTCTTTTCTTCATATCCTGTCAAGTTGAAGAGGCGAAAGCCACCTTGAAGTGTGCTCCAACTTTGGCTTCTTTTCTTCAACACAGAGACAGCGAGTGCTCGTCTCTGCTCCTGCTTCAGGAGCTATGCTTGGTTCAAGACACTCCTACCAGTCCTGTTCAACCCGGGATGGCGAGAGCTGGTCTTTGATCTTGCTAGTGTTGTTCAAGTTGAGACGGCGAGTGCTAGTCTTGTCCAAGGTCAGACGACGAGAGCCAGCCTCTGATCCCGTCAGTCTTGTTCAAGTTGAGACGGCAAGTGCCAGTCTTTGATCTCGCCACCTTGTTCAAATTTGGACGACGAGAGCTAGTCTCTGATCTCGCTTGATATGAGACGGTGAGAATTAGCTTCTGATCCCGCCAGTCTTGTCCGACTTGGGACGGCGAGAGCTAGGATCTGATTCTGCTGTTCTTCTTGGACTTCAGACGGCGGGAGCTACTCTCTGCTCTCGCCTATCCTGTCAACATATGATGGCGAGAGCTATTCTCTGCTCCCGCCAGTTCTGTTCATCCAGGAATGGCGAGAGCCAGTCTCTGCTCCCGCCCTCTTGGTCCTACAGCTGAGGAAGGGCAACAGCCCTGGGCTTCTTATACCCGCTCTATTCTCTGCTCTTCTCTTCTCCTTTCTCTTCTCTGGGCTCAAACTCTTTTTTCTTTCCTCTACAAACATATCGACAGTCTTGGTTCACTCTTACTTACTTTTCCATACAGAAGCAATCTAGTTCCTTGGATTGGTGATACAATCTATCAATCAGCGCAGAAATTCAGCAAGATACGCGACTACGGAGAGTCTTCTGGCTGTATTCAGGACACACGGTAAGCCATTGCCTGAAGAACCACGAGTTTTTGGAGAGAAGTCCTTACTAACGAAGCCAATCTCATAGAACCCAAATACACACGATAACCCGTCTGTTTCCCGTGGTCTTCGGAACCAACAGCTGATCTCTCAACTTAAGCTCAATCCGTGGTACTTTGGTAAGTCTTTCACCTTCATCCAGCGAGTGAGGCTTGTCCGTTGCGGCACGGTCGGGGTCACCAATCGCACGGCAATTTCAGGATCAAATTGCCGTCATTCTCCCGGGCCAATGGGCAGATGGTCGGCGACAACACGTTCATACCGGAGGCTTGAGGGTCCGCATTGCCGATGCCTTCCTCAAAGTGACATTGCCCCTTTACGTCAGGTGACAAGACCGGGACTTGCCTCTGCTCCTTCATCAGGGTTTCCAACTGTTGAGAAAGAGCCGGTGTCACAGCTTCCTTCATCCCCAAAATTTCTGCCACTGACGAATTCATTTTGCAGGAAAGAGTACCTGAACCTCAAGAACCACCTCTTGCCAGATTTCGATCTCATACCAGCGTACCTTCTCCGTTCATTTTGGGACGGCAGGCTTGTTGTTACTATGGATAACATCATTCTTCCCGTCTTTCCGAAATGGCTCCTAGACGTCAGGCGGCTCTTGCTGCTCAAGCCGTGAGTACATCCCTTTTCCTGTCTGGAGTCTATGCCCACCCTCTTGGATGGCACATCAGTCGTTGTCGATACATCCGTTCTTTCGTCGGATGTTCCCAATCATCGACATTCCTCCTCCCATCACAGCCACCCTTTGCTTCCACTGACACCTCCCATTTGCACTGAGCATTTCGACTTCACTCCTTGGCTTTCATTGCTGGGTGCTGCCCTTCCTCTGTCTGCTGATATTCGAAATATCCGTCGTTCTCTTCCTCCCCTCGTTTTGTGTTTTGGTTACTACGAGCAGACAAGCCTGTCTTCCATCCCACTCGCTCTGTTCAGACCATGGAAAGACGGCTAGTCAGTTACGACTGGCTCCATGAATTATCGAGGCTGCAAATGCTGACTCTGGACAGAACATGGCCGCCGTCGCAGCCCACGAGGCCGACGATGTCATGCCCGTCAAGATCCTCAAAGGATCCAGAAACAAGCAGCTCAAGCCTATCAAGATCGAGAAGTCGTCCACTGTCAAGGCCAGCGGCAAGGCCCCTAGCTCCAAGAATCCACCCGACGACCCCAAGCCCTCGGGCAGTCCTGGAATTCCCCTCGTCTGCCTTGTCTGCACGAGCACCCCGCGCTTCTCCGACCTCTCCCATCTTCTGACCCACCTCAGTTCCAAGGGCCATCTTCAGACTCAAAACGACGTGAGAATCCGCGCCACTCAGGATCTCGCCGCCGCGGACAAAGTTGCCACCTACGACAAGTGGTACAAGGACTATGGTATCGAGCGTATGCTTGCAGAGCGCCTCAAGGCCAAGGATGAAAAGGCGAGAGGTTTCTCGCGATCTGGACAGGGAACTTCTCTCGTAGGCATCCTGTCGAGCAAAGAACTTTTCATGTACTGACTGTGACAGACCCTCAAGAGAAAGAAGGCTCGTTCGACCCTTGTCAAGCGTGAGGCTGATGACTCCATGTTTACGCCTCCTCCCACCGGTCGACTTCTTGGCCAGCAGCAGGCCATCACATACTACGGTGACAACGATGATCTGGCCTCGGCCTCGACTCCTACCGATGATGCCATTGAGTGGGGTCCCGATGACTTGGAGTCTGCTCGACTCAAGGGAACCGTCTGGCCGGGCATGGGCATCTTTGATGCCGCCACCCCTGATCAGAAGAAGCAGCGGAACCAGCGCAAGGACGCCTCTGTGCTTCGCAAGATGGAGCTTTCGTCTCAGGCGATCACCACCTTGGAGATCGTGGCAAACCTGGACTTGGAGTTCGAGAGAACTCGTGATGTCTATGATGCCCCTTCCGTTGAGGGAAGCCCGGTTAGTCAAAGCATATGCTACGAGGCAGAGCAGTATCTTACTAATTATTTCAATCGCTCAAACAGGTCATCAAGAAGTCTAGACGTCGTCAGAGACGTAGCGGTGCCGCAGAGGAGGATGGCAATGCCTCGGGAGTTGTTGTCAAGGAGGAGCTCGCTGACGAAGCCGCTCACCGGGCATCTTCTGCTTTGGCTATGCAGCTCCAGAATGGTCTCTACAAGCAGGAAGAAGTTTCGGAGCTCGACAGCGAGTCCCTCTCGGAGAAGTTCGATGTCACGAGCGACATCGCTAGCACCGCCGATGGTGACAGCGATACTCTCGGCTACGCCGGAATGATCGAGCTTGATGAATCTCACAAGGAAATTGGAGGTCCCGACCGGGGTCCTAACGACCAGTTCTTCACCGTCACTGATCGCGTCTCCGACGTGTTCCAAGGTGGCAGCGCTGCCGGTAAGTCTCTGTACTATATTCGTCTTCCTGCCCACCCACTAACTCAGATTATAGGCACCAAAGCTTCGACTACGGTGAAGGATGAGCCTAGGTCCATCCCCGAAAACTCTCATCATGTTAGTAATGTTGTGTATTAACCCCTATGTGCGCAGATTCGACGTCCGCAATCGTATACCCCTCCGGTCGATGAACGCGAACTCGAATCTGAGCATGGCCTCTCCTACTCCGGCTGCGAAGCAGCTTTCACGTCGAACTTTCACAGGAAAGGAAAATAACAATGGTGTACAGGAACACAAGATGACCAGCATTGACTTCTATGGTGTCAACAACACTCACTTGAACCAGGCTGGAATGACCACTGCCATCAACATGGACCCCAACATCTTCACCGGATACTCGATGCCTGACATGTACCACCTCAACCCGGTCTGGGGTAACCCAATGTTGCGCGCCGGCCACCATGGATTCAACCCCATCAATGCCAATCACAATCATCAGCAGATGATGTTTTCTCAGCAGATGCCCATGATGAACACGTTCGGCAACGGCCACCATGACCACGCTCAGGGCTCGGGCGTGTACCAGAATGGACATGGGGCCTAGTTGCGCGACTCGACAACGTTCCCGTTGGTGACATGGGTTCATCACAAGCCACCACCGCGGGGAAGTTGGGTCTGCGGATCTGGGGTTTTAACAGACTCTTTATCTGGGTTTCGTTCTTCGGTTTCTTTCTTTTCAAGTAAGTCTGACGTTCTGGCGAAGGCGCAATTGGGCAGTGCTGATACCCCGCAGTTGTTCGAGTAGATACGCAATCTTCTCCTGCGTTCCTTTACATCACCGGACCACTTTTGAGCTCGGGGTGACGCGGGGTGAGCCTTCCTCTGGAAACGACTAACTCGCTTGCGGATCCTCGCTCAAATGGCGTCGGGGTGGAACACAGGGTAGTTAAGAGAGCGGGACTAGGACACATGCTGCTAGGCTTGCGCGATACTTTCAAGCAAGAAATCATGGGGAATGTGGTGGAACATCCATAAGCGGTGGCACTGCAAAGAGCCCCGCCAGGTTTCTAGGACTTTACCCATCGACTTTTTTTTTGTTTCGGGAGGCAAAGGAGGCTATAGATAACGCAGTTTTCGGTCTTTCGCAGTCATACCGCGTCAACTAGTCACACCAGACGCACTTTCGAGAAATAACACAAGGATTCATAGTACATATGTTTACTTTTGATTGTCCGTGATATATTTGCCTACAATTGCTCAATGTTTGAGATCAAATGATCAAGCTGGTCGGGGTTCGTCTCAAGGACTTCGGTGAGAAGACGAGCGGTGCCCCTTAACCTCCGGATTTTTACATCCTGTTCCATCTCGCGCGACCTCTGCGAGGCAACATCAATGACCTTGCGGGGTATGCGAGCCAAACGAGCCACGTTTAGTCCATACGATCTGTGCGCAACACCCTCTCCAACTTCATACAGGAACGTTATTTCTTCGTCAGCACCCGCCTCATCATCATCCGCATCGACGTCGCCTTCCTCCGCCCTAGCCCCGGCTCTGCGGGCGGCGGTGAAGCGCATGTGGACGTTCTTGACGAGGCCTTCGCCTATGCCCTCGGCTAGGCGGGCGAGATTCTGGTAGTGCGTGATGAAGAGGGTGAGACACCTGTTCTCGCGGACTACGTGATCGAGGACGGCGTGGGCGATGGCGGCGCCGTCGTGGGTGGAGGTGCCTCTACCCAACTCGTCGAGGATGACGAGGGAGCGCGGGGTGGCGGCGCGGAGGATGCGCGCCGTCTCCGAGACCTCGACCATGAAGGTCGATTCGCCGGCGGCGAGGTTGTCGCGGGCGCCCATGCGGACGTGGATTGCGTCGGTGAGGGTTAGTGATAGAGCGTCGGCGGGGACGAAGGAGCCTATCTGGGCTAGGAGGACGAGGAGGGCGACGGCGCGGACGAAGGAGGATTTGCCGCCCATGTTGGGGCCCGTGATAAGGTGGGCCAGCGGGGAGGGGGAGGCGAGGGTTGTGGTGAAGGGGATGTAGGGATCTGAGAGGGTGTGTTCTGCGATGGGGTGGCGGCCTTGGGCGATGGAGATTGTGGGTTTGTTCGTGGTGGAGGGGAGGAAGGTTGGTTTGCTGTAGCCCGGGAGGGCGGCGACGCGGGAGAGGGAGAGGAGGCAGTCGAGGGTTGCGAGGGAGGAGACGGCATCGCGGAGAGGTTGGTAGGCGTCTGCTATCGTGCGGAGGAGAGCGGAGAAGGCGGCGTCGCAGGCGGCGGCGAGGGCTTCACGGTGCTGGTCCCTCTCGGCGATGAGGCGGACGACAGCGGGGGTGTGGAAGCGGGAGAGCTTCTTTGTGCCCGAGATTTTGATCCACGAGGCCGGGACGGATTTGAGGTCCGTATTGGGCACCTCGATGAGGAACTCGATGCCCGAGACGGTGACGTAGTCGACGGGTTTCTTGCGTTTGAGGGAGGCGGCGGCGTCGCCGCGGTGCTCGTCGAGGGATTGTTCGACCGAGACGATGCCCATTTTGTGGTCTTCAATGTCTTCCGTCTGTTCTGATTCGCGGAAGAAGTTGTACTTGTCGTCTTTGCGGGCGGCCTCGGGGTTGATTTTGTCGAGGTGGGAGACGACGAGGTCGAGGATCTGGGGGAGGGACAGGACAGCGGATGCGATGAGGGGGGAGGTGAAGCCTGTTGCCTTGGCGGATTTGACGGTTGGGTATTGCATGGCGATGCGTTGGAGGGTCTGGAGGACGGATAGGAGTTCAGGGCGGGTGCATTTGCCGTAGTAGATACGGATGAGGCTGCGCTCGAGGTCGGTCTTTGTGCCGGCGAGGAGTGTTTGCAGACGGTCGACTTTTGTGGAGGACTGTTCGTCAACGAGTTCCTGGACGGCGGCCACGCGTTCCTCGAGGCGGGCGACGTCGAGCAGAGGCCGACCGACCCATTTGCGGAGGAGGCGCTGGCCGAAGCGGGTAGTGGTCTTGTCCAGAGCCCAGAAGAGGGAACCGCGCTCCGAGTGGTCGGTAGCGTTGCGGTAGACCTCGAGAGTCTCGAGTGTCGTTCCGTTCAGGAGCATATGCTGGCGCGCGGAGAAGCTGGTGAAGTTTTTGGTGAGGTCAAACACGTGCTCGAGGCCGTATTCCTTGAGGTGGCTGATCATGGCGGAGAGGCAGACGGTGACGGGCTCGGGGAGGTGAAGGATGCGCTCCAGGAGAGCCGAGGCATCGGCATCGGGGGTCTGCTGTAGCTTGTCGGCGTAGAACTGTGTGACGTGAGAGTAGGCCTCGGCGGCCATGGTCTTCGTTCGAGGGACACGCTCGACGCGGCTGCGATCACCAAATACGTTTGTGCTGCTCCCCGAGAGGTGCTGGATCAGCTTGTCTGACCCCTTTGTAAGGTCGCCGACGATGACGAATTCGCACGGCGAGATATGCAGCAGTCGGGTCTCGATTTCACTGCGCATAAAGCCGTCCTCGAATGTGTCGTAGATGATGTCGCCCGTGGTTGGCTGTACGGCTACTATACCGACATCGACCTTCTCGTCGGTGCCCTGCCCCTTGGTGGGAGTCTCGGTGATGCAGAGCAGATAACCACCCGAAGGAGCGCCACCATCACCACCCGTTTCAAGTTCGCCATTCTCGTCAATGTATGTGCCCTTTGTGTAGACGTTGGTCAGCTTCCGAACGAATGGGGCGTTGCGGTTGTCGCCGGCCTTCTTCAATGCGGCTGTCTCAATCTGGCGTACCACGCCGACCTTGTGACCAGCAGCAACGAGACGCTTGGCGTGAACCGGCAGACGATGTACCGGGATGCTCGCAGAGGCGAACTTTTCCAGGTGTGCTTCAGAGGGGTGCTCGTCGTAGCGGAATTTGCCAGGTATGCACACGATGCTGAGCTCCTTGGCGGCAATGCGGGCATCTTCACCAAAGAACCGGAACTTATAGCCCACCTCTACGATGAGGACTGTATCCAGATGTTTCCGCTTGATGTCGAGGAACTGGATCTCCATGGGAGTGAGCTTCTTGTTTGCTCTTGCACCGCCCTTCTTCGCCTTGGGCGGCGGCGGAGCTTCGTCCTCGTCTTCTTCTCCTTCGCCCTCCTCCTCATCAGCGGCTTCGTTGTCATCTTGCCTCCGGCGCCGCCATAGCATGCTGTCCGGATGGCCCAGCTTCTTGACGAACTTCTTGTGTAACTCCTCCTTGCGCTGCTTCATGGATGGGTCTTGATCCTCTTCATCCTCCTCCTCGTTCACGTCTGAAGCCTGGCTGTAGGCGAACCGTCCCGTCCTAGAGGAAGCTGCAGATGCCTTGGACTTGGGCTCAGACTCGGCGGGTGGCTTGGTTCCTGGAGTGAAGAAGGAGCTCTTGCCCTGATCCGCAGCATTGGTCTTGTCCCCCTTTTCACCCTTTGCTCTCTTGATGGTCTTGTCGGGTCCATTATTGCCCCTATCCGTGTCCTCCTCCAAGGGGCGCTTGCGCGAGGAATCCGGCGACTCGGGCGGGCTCGTTCGTGCTTCGGACTGCGACTTTTGGAAGGCGGCGGCTAGGCCATTGACCGTTTTTGGCTGGAAGAAGTTTGTGAGCGACTGCTGCTTCTTTTCGGGCGGTTTCGACTTGGGCGCCATATTGGACCAGAGTTGCTCGCGGGAGCTGGCGGCCTCTTTTGGGGTGTTGGGTGACGATGCGAAATGGTAGACGGGAGGCTCGAACGTCGTTGGTGATGTCAATTGGAGGCGACCACCCCCAGATTTCCTTCCACTTAGTCCGTCGCGTCTGGCGGGCGAGAGCGCGTTGAGAGGTTGCAGGGGTGGCACCACTTGAGTTTGGAGCTTACAGGGGTCAAAGCCACTACATTTCCAGGGATGGCGCCCCTATCACCATTTAAACTTTCTTTTTCTCAACGACGCGTTTTCGCTTCAACGGCTTTTATTGGCACGGATCGTGATCAATTTACTTACGGTAATATGAGAACTTCCTCGATAAGAGACTATGATAATGTATAGAAAGGTTATAATTTGGGGAGGGAAGTGTGATGACCTGAGTCATGTTGGTGCCCGTGTAAGTCCATTATGCCGAGTCCTTGTGTAATAACCACTCCAGACCAGCCTTTTGATCTCTCTGGTGTTTCTTGCTGAAGTCTGCTTGAGGAAACAGTGCCCAAAATCCATGAGGTAGACCAGGATAGACATCTAGTTTGGTTGGTATTCCCGCATCCTTCCAAACCTGCTCCATGATAAGCGTGCAGTCTCGCACGGGATCCAGCCCACAAGCCTGGAAGTACGTTCTAGGGATGCCAATCAGGTCCGGCGAGATGACAGGGTACGCCACCGGCCTTCTCGGGTCCGGCTTGTACATTGCTAGCACGATGTTACTCTGAGCCTCTAGAGTGCTGCTGTCGTCTTGTGATGATCCTTACCTCTGATAAACTCGATCGAGTCTGCGGTCACGACTGGGGCACTAGCATTCTGCTTCAGACTCAAGAAACGATCTCGGTACGTTTCGGGAACGGTGTCTTCGGTGACGGCTCCGGAGATGGACGAGAATATGCCCGTCAGCTCTGGCGTCTGTTTCTCGTCGATCCAAAGGCGGGTTACACCCAACGCCAAGTCAGCGCCTGCGCTCTCGCCACCGACGAGAATGCCTTTCGATAAATTAATTCCAAGGTTTTTCGCGTTATCGACGGTCTACCCCGTGTCAGCCTCATCCCTACATGGTAACAGGCAGGCCTTCTAGATGGGTAGATCTACCCATTTCACAGCATCGAAGCAATCCTGCACGGGGATAGGAAAGGGGTGCTCTGGAGCCAAACGATAATCCACGTTCACTGCAATGCCACCGAGTGTTGTAAAGAGCTGGCAGAGGGGACCCACGCCCTCCAGATCGCCAATGACGAACCCGCCACCGTGGAACGCTACAAGAACAGGACAGCCATCATTGGCGACGGCTCTGGGTTTGTGGATGCGAACGGCAATTGCTGTCCTATCTCTCACGGTGATGCGGACGTCTTCTTCGACGTAGGGCAGGGTGGACGGGTTGGGTTTGGCCGCGAGTTTGGCCTCGAGGACCTTGGCCATGATGCCTCGGATCTGTTTGAGGTCCGTATTCTTGTCCCATGCGCCGACCTTGATTGGGCTGGCCCGTTGAAGCTGCGAGAACGATCAACATTGTGATGTGATTAGCTCATGTTGTGGATCACCTCTGTGAACTCAGCGTTAGGCTCCGCGAGAGCTAGTATTTCCTCAATGGACAGCATGGTTGCGACTTCTAGTTGACTGTGCCCGGTGACTCTTCGACAGCGCGAGGCTATGGCGAATTTCTCTGAGGGGACAAGCACGTTTATGTTTATCCAGTTCAAACTTGAGAAATCTCAGTCAAGCCCAACAATTTACCAGCCTGCCGTACAAATGTCCCATTAGGTGGAAGTCAGAACGGGGTAAATTCATGCCGACAACTTGCAGATCATTCAGCTTCAGCTGCCTTCCTAGCCTGTCAACGTAGTAACAAACGACACGAACAAACTCCCACCCCTCATACTAAGGTAGGTGCAGTCACTAGCGGTGGGTAGCGTCACAAGAGCTCCCTTGGTCTGGTGACGATCCGGTGTCCGATGGATCCACTTTCCGGAAGGGGGTCGGAGCCCCGCAACGCGGAACGGTCCCCGTCACGGTGCTACGTCGACGGAATTCGCTGACGTCTTGGTTTCTTTGGAAATCACAGCATACATCGTCTCAAGTTTAGGAATATGAATAGGCTGTGCAGCCTAACACGGTACTGTATGAAACCTTGAGACGCATTTAATCGAGATGAGAAAACTCGAGAATTGGAACGATGCGCGAGATAGCCACCAACACACGTGACTCTTTGAAGGCGTGATTGGGCCATGGCGCCGAAGTCTCCCGAAAATTAGAGTGACTGACAAATGCGACAGCTGTGGTGAGGTCAGTCAGCGGAAAAAAAAAGTGGTTCGACGAAGACCACCTCAATAGCCATCCTTTCCGCCCATCCAAATCTTTGTCGCAAACCACCCACCGAACAGCCCGACACTCATTTCGCTCTCAAAATGGCATCCCAAGCTGCTGCTCTTCGTAAGGAATACAGTCCATCATTTCATGCCGCGCAATGGCTAACAATGTCCGCCCACAGCCTCAGTCGCCACCCCGGCCGCTGCGCCGGTTGCCAGCCAGGAAGCTTCCAAGCCCAAGGTGCGCAAAGAACCCTTTCTCCGAACATAGCCCTTCGACGATTTGAGCACGACGAACGTTGAATACTGACGAGCCATCGCGATTGTAGCCCTGCTGCGTGTGCAAGGACGAGAAGGCCAAGCGTGACGAGTGCATGCTCTTCTCCAACGCCGCCGATCCGTCCAAGGACTGCCTTTCCACGATCGACCAGTACCGAGCTTGCATGAAGGGATTTGGCTTCACTGTCTAAGCATCCGATAAGAGAGAAAGGACAATAGGGCGAATCCATGCGACGATAGTTCTTGTGTACAGTAACGAACCGAGCATACTTCATATGGCGTTGGGGGAATAGAGAAATCATTTCGACTCTTCTAAGCCTTGTTTACCTGCGATCCTGGTCCCTGGAGCATCTGCGTAGAAACGTAGACCGGCCTGGGTTTAAGAGCTACACACTTCGGTTGCTCAATCCTAATGTGTTCGCATCATTGCATTATAGCAGAGGAGAAGTAGGGAGATACTGCATAGAGAAAGGGATAACTTACTTGCCAACAGGATCGATGCCAGATTGTTCTCGCTGTTGCACAAGAAGGGGACCCTTGACCGCTGTGCTGGTCTTGCACGTAGGATGCCGGCGAAGTCGCGCAGACTCGGCAGGGCCAAGTCAACTAGAGGGGAGGGGAAGCCGACATTTAGTTGAACTTGGTACCGTGAACAGATGGCAGTATGGCAGTGGCTGTGGGTTTTGGGCGTGTGAGAATTGCGCCGTCAATGTGCTCGCCCTCAAGGTTCGGAAAGGGGTGGGAGGCTTGGAGGGTAAGGTAGCGAGGGCCGTTGATGGATATGGATGGCGCTGCACCCGGTAGGCCAGCGCTTTCTTCCGTGAGCCATCAAGTTTCCATGAAAGTGAAGGCTCGAACCCATATAGGGGGGTCCAGGACCATTCCTGTCACCAACGGAGGCAGGCGCCTCACAGGCTTGTGAGGTCAGGTCAAAGTCCCGTTTGGCGGGATGGTTAGGGGCGAGTCGTCTCGGCGGTAGGCTCGTCCTCGCTAGGGTCAAGGTTCGATTCCCAGCATGTGCACCAGAGATGTAGCCCCCAGTTCAGCACCGGGGGGGTGAACTCTTTTGTCATTTTGCAGCTTTTTTTACAAATACGATCTAAACATTCAAAATTGTCTTTTCTGCTGAATCAGGCTTCCGAAAAATGCGAATAAGCAATCAATTTGGACGTGCGTATCGTAAACCAAAATCGGCGGATTGAAAATGGTGATATAGGGACTGCTCACCTCGGCCAGGTCGGTGAGTGTCGGTGTGTCGGGTCCACCTCGGATGCAGATTGCAGATTGCAGGGACGAGCCACATTCCACAACAGGGACCCCACCAGATTTTTTTCTCTACGATAATGGCTTTGCCTGCATCTCTTATCGCATCTCGAAAATTCCCATTTTCCATCACCACCGGTCGGCACCCGTCACAACGCAAAGATGGGTCTGGCACAGGCGAAGACGTGAGGCTCACCGTTTCCGTGCGACTTGTCCTCGCCTGCTTGAATAACTAACTGAAAATCCCATTTTTAGTCGCCGGAAGATCGGCAAGGATCCCAACAACACGAAATGGACCAAGGACCTCGACTCCTTTGGCCAGAAGATCCTGCGATCACAGGGTTGGGAACCCGGCCAGTACCTCGGTGCAAAGGACGCCGCGCACGCGGTGCACCACACGGCGGCCAATGCCTCCTTCATTCGCGTCGCCCTCAAGGACGACATGCTCGGTCTCGGTTTCAAGCAGGCAAGGGATGACAGGGTCACCGGCATGGACGTCTTCTCTGATCTCCTGGGACGCTTGAACGGCAAGTCTACCGAGGTTATTGCCAAGGAGCAGGAGGCCCGCACGGCGCTGAAGAGCACGCTGTACTGCGATAACAAGTTTGGACCGATGCGCTTCGTTAGCGGTGGATTCCTCGTCGGCGACAAGATCAAGGAGGAACCCACGGCCGAGGCGAAGGAGAAGATTGATAGCGACAGTGACGACGTCAAGATGGAGAATATCCCCGAATCGAGCAAAAAGTCGAAGAAGCGCAAGGCCGAGGAGTCGAGCGAAGACGAATCCTCGTCCTCTGAGGACGAGAAGGCGAAGAAGAAGCGGAGGAAGGAAGAAAAGAAGGAGAAGAAGCGCAGCAAATCAAAGTCCGCGGCCAAGGAGGATGCTTCGGAAGATACCCAGGACGAGACGGCGGAGAAGAAGGCGAAGAAGGACAGGAAGAGAAGCAAAAAGGCCAAGAAGGAGGCCGCCGATAACAGCGACGAAGACGAATCGTCAGACGACAAGTCGACAAAGAAGAAGCGCAAGGGCGAGACGGATGCCGAGAAGGCTGCGAGGAAAGAGGAGAAGAAGCGTCGCAAGGAGGAGAAGCGCGCAAAGAAGGCGGCGGCAGCGTCAGCATCAGCGTCAACAACACCGACGGCCAGCGGTACGTCGACGCCGGTGCTCAGAGGCCACCACGCTGTGAGGTCACGGTGGATTGCGCAGAAGAGGATGGCGACTATGGATGACAAGGCATTGAACGCGGTACGTTTTGGTGTTGCTCCAGCGCTTCTGGTGCGATTGTTTACTGACGTGTGTTACAGATTTTCATGGTCAAATCGCAATCTTGATAGACTAGCAAGTATTAGACAGTTAATGACACTTCCCGGGCGCTTTTCTTCCCTTCGAATTTGCAAATTCCTTATGCGATCTTAGTATCTGGGCTGCTAAGCTACTTGGTCAAGCTGCGCCGCTCCTGTCGCTTCCGATAGCATTGGCTGTTTTTCGATCTATTCGCCTACACAGCAACATATCACGGTCATTTTGTGTTGCACAAAAGACGTCGCATAATTCATTCGAATCAATACAGCTGAATGGCTTATACTTGGCTTCTGGGCAAAATGAGGCCAATGGGTCCAACCAAGGACCAAGGCCCGCTTCATCGTCGCCCGGCTTATGAAGGATTCGGAGGCCGCCGAGCCAAGTTACCGGCACGTTGTTGCCGCTTCGCATTCCAATCTCACATAAGTACTTTGACCCATATGCTCCTGGTGCTCCACCGTCAGCTTCTTCATTACATATTTATTGTTCAAATAAAAGCATCCATTCAAAGGCTTTAGCCAGCGAAGATCTTAAAAAGATTTCTTGACTTACAACGAAGTGGGGAGCTCGATTAGAAACATGACTTCAACTCCAACGCCAATTCCACGACCAGGGCCTGTAGCAAGCAGCGATGGACTTAAATCAAGTACCGCAGCGCCCCCGACAACGAAGCCAGACACTCTTAATACTGCCCCGAGACAATACGTCGATGATCTCATGCCGTCCGAAAACTATTTCGCAACCTGGTACTTTCTCAACCTGGCAGCACTAGCGACAATCGGCAGCCTCTCTGTGAGGCCATCGCCCTCCGGCGACGAGGACGCCAAGCTCCTCCTCGCCATCCCCGCCACGGTCTTCTTCTTCATCACAGGGGCCGGAGTGTTCATCATGACGTACGGCGTCTGGCCCCGTACGGGCCATCAGCGAATCCTGAGCAGTATACTGGGCTTCACTGCCACGCTCATTTACGGGATCACGGTCCCGAGCTGGACTGTTGGCATCGGGCAGACTCTGGGGCGGGAGTTCTGCCTGCTGAGCGGGTTCCACGTCGGGTTCTGGATTGAGGGGGTGACGGGGCTCATGGGGCTGGTTCTCGAGGCCCTCAAGAACTCGAAGGAGGAGCCTCTGCCGAGGAAGATCCGTACTGTTGGCGGCAAGGATGCGGCCAAGGCTCAGCCTTCCTCTTCGTCCGGCGCGGCTCAGAACCTTTGAGATCTCAAGGTTGGACGCACCGTTCAGGCGTTTTCAGGCCTACGCAAGGTTGGGATGCGGCTGGATTAAGTTTGTGAGAGAGACCGTCGCGGTTACCCGTACACATAATGCGGGTTTCCCGACGGTTGTAGAGCGAGCCGAAACGAGATGGCCTATATCATCTTCCTCCACAAACATTCCGGCGAGCACTATATATCCAAGCAGGTCCTGCTGTCCATTTACCAAAGTCCACCAAACTCATAGCACTTCACTATCAATCTTTGAATGCTAAACTCAGGACTCGCGCTACGCATCGGTCCTTTGGGCGTAATACTGCCTCAAGAGCGATACACCGCGACTCTAAGTCCCTCTTCAAACATGGGAGATAACAAATCCCCCTACCCACTTTCCATGACAATGAAGAAACCACCCAAACCCTCTATCGAGCAAGTCGAGTCAAAGAAGGAAATAGCCGAACGGTTGTTATGCGCGCTCGCTGTTAACTTCTCGAGCTGGGTCGTCCTGGCGGTCCTTGGCAGCGAACACTGCACGGTTGAGTCGGAGGAACTCTTTGTCATCTACGGCGTCGCCGCGATGATCGCATTCCCGGCCTCGTGCATCGCCATCCTGGAACATTGGCCGAAGGGTCCGAGAAGCACATCCGGCATCATGACAGCCGGCATATTGGGCTATGGTATCGCGATGGCCCACTCGTTCGTCACCGGGCCCTGGCCGACCATCTTTACCAGGCACTCCTACCACTTTTCTGGGGTTTACATCGGTTTCCTAATCGAGGCGGCCACGGGATGGTGCGACGGCTTAGCATCGATCATGGCAGAGAAGTTTAGCAAATGAGTCGAAGTCTACGGAATGAGAGAAGACTGCCCGAAGAAATTTCGGCTGTTGAGCGCAGCGTCGCTTTCTTCCTGGACAACCGCTGGGAATATGGCACACGTTTTCGACTGCGAGGACACTCTGGAACAATACCGGGCTCTGATGGGGGTTGGCAACGAGGCAAATGGAATAAATCTCGGAAACTTGAGAGACTTGCACGTCACGAGCAGGTTTCGGACAATAAAAATGACCGACTACTATCATCTGCACTACTGTGTGGCTGTCTATCTCGGCGTACCCTTGATAAACACATCAATACATCCTCTATCTAATTATTATTTCCAAGGGCTTGGAGGCAGTAAATGTATGTGGCTATGTTGTTGCCTAGGTATCTGCTCGCCCGGCCAACCTGATTTGATCCCAGCACCGCGTTCTTCATGTGGTTGACAAGAAGCTCTAAGGCAATCATCTTGAACTACATCACGGCTTTGGATTTCCCAAGGTTGGACGAAATAGCGTGGTATCTCTAGTCTTATTCCTTAATAAAAAAAAAACGTGTTTACGAAAATGATGGTATTTCGTGGCTAATCTCTACCGACGAATGTGAACCGTATGATGCCAGCCTAGTGATTCACCTTTGACACCCATATCTCTCACCGCCCGGCCTCACGCACATCGCCAACCACCCACCACCTCACCCACTATAATTATCAAAAGGAAGGCATTCCATCACCAAGGCCTGTGACGTAGCGGGGAATGTCACTTAGATGGGAATAGCCCCGCACTCATAGGTCCCGGGTTCGAGTCCCGTATTGTTCTTGTAAAAATCCTTGCATCGTTACACCTGAGGCTGGTAAGAGTCTCCTCGGATCTTTCGTAGGTTCCCTGTTGTAGGGAGCTGAGCTTTTTGCATTTTTTGTATGAGTTAGAAGTCCGATGGGATAGCCGTCCCTCGCCCTCAAGGTTGATGTGGATGATTAATGGCCCAGATAATTACTTGGTGGTGTAAGACTGCAGTCTACACGGGTGCTCAACTTTTTCGTGACCTATTGTGCATATTTCAAGAACATGGCCGCGAAGAAGACCGAGCGAGCTAACGTACCATATCGAATTACTCTCGAGTCTACCGAGTCCATGGAAAAGTTAAGTTGAACCCTTGCTTTGCCTTTGACCGCGCCCCTTTTGGTTATCTTGATGAAGTCCGAGACTCTTGGAACAGCTTGAATCATATAGACTTTATCTCTAAACACATCTTCCAGGCTAGATTCTCGAGCGTACCTCGGATCATGTCTTATTAGTGTTATGTTCAGGATCTGGCCCATTACGTGCTAAGAACAAATTAGAGGTTGAAGAAGCTTCTAACGTCCCGCAAGAAGTGTCATCACGCAGTCGTCAAAAGTCATCCATTGCCAAGCTGCAAACCGAATAGTCCCAGTTCTTTCCCAGGAGGTAAACGTCCCAAAGGCACCTGCATGGGATGAAATGTATCCGCTGGACTCTGATTGAGCGCAGGATCGTGGTACGACTGAAGTCTAAACCTAGAGCAGAGAGTATCATGGTCCGATGGTGAAGGTATCTCCGACGAAGAGAAAAGTGACGAAAACTCAAAGACATAAGGTATCTCCGGAAGAACGGTGTATGTAGTATATCAAATAGGCCCGTTTCCTGTCTTATTGATCGTTTTTCGTTCATTCCATATCCCATACATCATCTTGATAATTCTGATAACTTCAAGTTACACTCACCACTTTCTCAAGTCACTTTACACCCAAGTATTCAATCACATATACCATCAGTAACAAAGATGGCGGCTACCCGTACATACTTTGCGAGATACCCTCACGTCTGGCACGATCGCTCCACTCGTCCGAGACTCACTACCATGAGTCTCGAGACGATCGAGGAGTCTCTTGGAGAAGTCAGCGAGACCCCTACCCCTGACGAGGTCAAGATGCTCCAATCAGCCTCCAGGGCCGAGGCCATCACCAAGGCCCTATTCGAGCAAGTGTACGCTCCCAACAAGCCTGGAGAGAAGGGAATGGAGGGGAGGGAGTCTCAAACTCCTCCTTCAACCGAGCTCGCGACTCCGGGATCCAAAGCCCCTTCCACTTGGAACCCCACCACACCCGGCTGCATAGACTGCACCATCTCCCCCTCCCCCAGCCACAACCACAGCAACAACATCGGCTGGACCTCCTTCGAAGATATCGCCCTAGAAGCCCGCACCCTCGCAGACTACGGCATCCGCAGCCCTCGCGTCAGATCCCGGCTCTCCCGCTTCCAGTACGCCGACTACGAACAAGAACCCCTCATCCGCAACGAGCCCTGGATCAAGAGGTTCTCGTACTTCGAACACGGGATCGAGGCTGCGAGAGGGATCCAGAGACGTGATGATGTGGTTGTTGTCGACCCCTTCCACGTCAACGAACTCCCCGTCGAGGCGGAGATTGAGGAGTTGGTTCTCCCGCCGCCTGTGCTACCACTGCCACTGCCACAGGCACCGGCGGTTGCCCCGCACCTTGAGGAGTTACGGCCGCGGTCTTTGGACCTCAGCGCAGCGAAGGTGAATGAGAGTGAGAGTGGGAGTGAGATTACTTCGGAGGAGCATCTCTGCCTCTTCTGTTCCTCCGTCGTTTGGTCTGAGAGTGAGGAGGACTCGGAGTACAGCCTGGCTGACGAGGAGATCCGGCGAGAGCTGGATGCGGTGAATTGGGATTTCGAGAAGTGGGCTCTCGGCGATGGTAATTCCGACACGGACGGCGAGGAGTCTCCCGCATCTCCTGCCGCTGCTCCCGCTTCTCCTGCCACTCCTGCCGAGCGGTGCGGGGGCGTAGTCGCCGTAGTAGAGATGGAGGGAAGAGAGGAGGAGGAGGAGGAGGAGGAGGAGGAGGAGGAATCGGCCTTCAGTGTGGTTCTGCTGGCGAATCTCGTTGGATTTTCCATTTCCTTCCTGATCGTGTCCATCGTATTCGGACTCCGGTCGGAATCGCAGTGGGCGTAAAGCTTGAGCAGGGGAAGATGGGAGGAAGGGTGGTGTGCGGATAATGACATGACGATGATAATAATGATAATGAGGCATAAGCAACGGCGGGAACTCGTGTTGAGCCTTCTCGCGTGGGATCACACAGTATGTAGTCTGCCTCTAGAGGCAGATTGAAAATTAATGGAAATACTGTGGTCACCAAGATGCATTTTGAAGAGTGTGACTTATTATCCGTTTTATATGCAGCCTGAATGATGAGACTGATACTACAAGCCCAGATGCCGCTGTATTGCGCCTAACCGAGAACCTTGAAGTCAAGATCTAAAGAGGGTATAGATAATGCATGCAAGCCCCTAAACTCCACGCCCAAGAGAACGCCAACCCAAAAGAAAAAAAAAAGTGCATCAATAATGCTGTGCCTTGCTGTACTTCCACAATAGACTCGCGCCCTCAAGCTTGGGCATGACTTTTGGCCGCTGGCATCCCGGCGAGCCCTTTCCGACAAGATGGATAGATCTTTGGAACCTCCGCCTGAATCGCCGCCAGTCGTCATTCGTGGGCCACGACTCAAACAGGTCGCCTTCGTTTTCCAAGTCATCCTTGTCGAAACAGTCGTCCTTGTCGTCGTCGACGTCCAGCGGGTAATAGAGAAATTGATTAGAGTGCGGGTGTCGCGGCTGTGTATAGTTGAGCTGTGACTCAATATCGAACTTGAAGCGGTATCCTTGGTGCACCAGTTGTGGGCGTTGCGGATCTGGGTAGTTCATATGAGATGTGGCATACGGAGGTCGAATGTCAAAGTCGAACTGGAACTCCTGGTGGACGACAAATACGAGCTTCCTTAATCTGGGGAACTTTGCCAGACGGGCAAGCAGCGTCGTTATATTGGACTTGGAGACTTTCCAACTGAGCACCGGGTGGCAGATGCCAGTGTAAAGTCCGTATGACGTTCCAAACGCAAGCCGACTGAGGTTGTCTCGCACAAGAGGGATCTGGCTGAAGAACTGCAATGTCCGGAGTAACCGCTTGACCAGCAAGTACGGCTCGAGCAAAAGGATATCGCGCGATAGGTCGACGTATTTCGTCGTTGCCGAGAGAGCGAGAGGTCTGTAGCGTTGTAGTACAAATACCCTCGTCTCATGGCATACCGCGCCAAGCGCTGGTGGCGGTTCATCTCGAACATTGGCGAACATGAGCCCGGCTGCCGCAGGCGTTTTTTGGCTTGCATTCGGCGAGTCCATGACTTCGTACACGCGCGCTTCTGGGAGAGCGTACTCCCAAATCATTAATCGGATCTCCACTGGTAACTTCATCATCGGGAACGCCTCTCCGGGGGTGGTTGTGGGACTCGGAAACTCCTTCGAGATAGACGGAAATAATGTTGAAGGCATGTTGATCTATGTGTGACGCTGAGGCTGGGTTGCATCGCAGCAAAGAGATCTTCAGAAACACACAATGCGGGCGGTTTGTGAACCTGGCGGTCGATCTTCTTTAAGGCCGGATGATCTATAGCTGGGGGGGGGGGGGGGCAACAACTTTAATGATCGACGTGACCCAACCACTCGGACAGTGACCGCGCAACGCAACGACTGGGCAGATACTTCGTAGGCACGCAGCAGCCAGCAGACACGCAATGGGACGAGACGAACGTCCCCGACGGGGAGGATGGCGTTGAAATATAGGACCGCGATACCCACTCGTTTAACGTTTCGACTAGCGGCCCGAGGGATCTCGCATAGATGAGGGTAGGAGTTTGTTTCGAGGATCGCGCTGGGGTGTAGTGTGGGTGAGGGGAGTTTATCTTGGAGACCTGGCACTAGCAGCTTTCGCAGGTTGATGAGGTTTGCTGATGGGACGACACCAATGAGACGGGGCTGCTCGGAAGCGGAGCGAGATGTGTGTTCGAATCTTGTCCAAAGGAAGAAGGAGAGACGACTCAAGGAGCTTCTTGACAGGGAAGAAAGTGAAACGTGAGGAAACGCAACCGGACTTGTTGCTTGCAAACGGCGGATGTAAGCTGGGTTTTGTGAGCCGTCCGGAGAGTCCCCATCACACTGGTGAAACTGGGGCTAGACCGGATCATCTGATGGCTGTCAGTTTTGACTAGACTAAGGTAAGGTATGGTCATCTACCGTCCCTGCGGTGTCGTTAGTGGGCAAAAGCAACGTGGGATGTCACGACCGGTACGCCGCAACAAATGAACTATTGGCCGCCATGACTGCCACATCAGGTAATCGTGCCGGCAGTTAATGACGCACCGATGTCAGAGCGGGCGAATGCACGTCGATATTCGGGTCTCTTAAGGTCTTAAGCATGGCGAAAGTGATATGTGAAAATGGGTCCTCGGTGCCGATTTGGCGAGGCGGAGTTGCGAAAAAGCGCACCGATAGACTAAGGTAGCAAGAAACTCGGTTTGCCGCCGCCGGAAGCCCGCGGTGAACATGGCGCGAATTCTAAATTTGGCGGTCAACGAGAGAACGCTTGCCCCTCGTAATCCGGTGACGAGTCGTGATGCCATAAGCTGGCGGTAAATAGCTAGCAACTCGAGCTTGCATGCGCGCGCGCGCAAGAGAGAGAAAGAGAGGGCGGTCCAGATTAGACAGATTGAAACCATCGGTCTGCCGTCATTCGAACCATGCTACGGCGTAGCACGGCGCTGGACTGCCACGGCGCTGCAAGGTGACCGCAGGGTTCCAACGAGATGGCAGACGGTTAGCCATGCCAAGACGTTGGCCGGGGCCAGTTCGGGGAAGTGGTGGCATCGGAAGAGGGGCGGGAGTGGTAAGGAGCTTGCCGAGAGCGACAGACGACGAAGGAAGGGAGGGGCTCCGAAGGGCTCGGTCGATTAGGTGGGTACGGGGTTCAAAGGTCGTTTGCTTGAGGCTTTGGGATCGGGCGAACGATACGAAAGCGGACAAGGTAGGTTGGTTAAGCATATTGCGTTGCCTCCTGGCACCTCCTCAGGTTGGGTCTCCGCCGCCTCATCACGGGCCCAGGCTCAATCAATCTGAAGGGGACTTGATAGGGCACTTGACGACGTTGCGTGACCGTTTGGTTGAAGTATCCGGCTCATCATCTGTCGTATCCAGGTATCCTAGGACCTAGCCCCCTGCGCAGACGACACCCCTTGGCCTCCTCTCGCCCTTCGGCACAACTTGGCTTTGCCTAGTACAATTAGAACCGTGCATGGTAGCAGCTTTCTTTCAGCCCTGGTCGACATGGCTTATTGGGGGTGGGCATATTGTGTTGCGCAAGCCGGAATCCCCCCATTGTTTAGTTCGATGAAGCGGGCGAGTAGAATAGGATAGGTAGTAAGCTCGGCGCACACGACGGCTTGAGTAAGACGATGGAAGAGGGTGTCTTCATTTGTTGCTGGCTGGACGTTCGCAGTTGTTCTGATGGACTTTGGATGACGACTGGGGTGGGTGTCATCTAGTTGGCTCAAATCCGATATGCTGCTCGTCGCACACTGAGTGCAAACTGTGGGGACCGGGCGTTTGAGTGGACTTCAGGCGCACTGACCAGGTCCGGCAGCACAACGGGACGTCCAGTGGGGCCTCACTCTCTTCAGGGTCTTACCTAAGCATGCTAAGGTACGTGGGTACCTCGCCAGGCTCGCAGACTGAGGTGCAGTCACGTCCGCAACCAGCGCAGCCAGTCACCCAGTGGAACGCCGCGTCCACCTGCAGCCCGTGGAGCCTGCCGCGGCTATCTTCCGTTTGTCCGCGAAAAGGTTCCTCCGGTGCCCTTAGTCCAGCTGCATCGGACCCACTCCGGGCGGACGTGCAGGGACCCATCTCACGATATAAAAAAGAATTTTTGGTCGCGGCTCTTTCAAAGGCTTCTCTTTTTTCTTCTTTTTTTCTTCGTGCGGCTGGCACGATTCGTTACAGTTTCCCCTGTTGCTGGAATTCCTAAGTCGGTGAATTCATGGCGTCAATCGTGCCCCAGATCGAATTTTAATTGCAGCCGGCCTCGTCCATCATAGATCCTGTTCTTGCTCTTGTAGCGAGTTGGGTCGCGATCGATGGGCCGGACATATCCAACCCTTCAAGCCAAGTTTATTCTTGGCTGGAACTCGCAAAGTGAATGCGACGACCCAGGCGGGAGAAGTACGCCGTATGCGGCTATGTCACCTATTACCTGCCTCGCGGTTGAGCTCAAGGCAGTATGTCGTCGGAACCCCGTGAACGTTTCCTAATTTGGCGCACCACGCGCGCTCTGGAATCGTCTCATGCATGACCGTCTAAATGCATGACTCTGCATTATAGAGCGTCAATCATGCTCAACCATGCAACCTGTGTGTGGCTCAGTGGTTTTGGATTTTGAGCCTCCGGCACAAACTGTTACCGGAGGCGTCTATAACTATTGCTCTATTCATGATTCTCGTCGCATGGGGTCTCGAGTGCAGACTTTTCTTCCTCTTTCTTGTCTCTTCACCGGACCGATTTTCAATGACCCACCGGTCCGCTCTATTCGCCGGCCTCATCGCCAATCTTCTCCAACTTGCCCATTTCTCTCTTCTCGCCCGACTCGCCGATGAGGCGCACGCGGTCGAGACGCACCTTTTCACCGTCGCCGTCACCCTTGGTCACGTAAATGATCAAGCTGTTAATGTTCTGGAACTTGACGAAACGAAGGCCAATGTTGGCGGTGCCGTCAGCGTTCCAGTCCTTCTCGGTGAGCTCGATGGCTTGCGTGGGAGGGGTATCGTCGGCTTCGCTAAAGTCGAGGTTGTGAGGCTTGTTCGTGTAGAGGTGAATGGTGCCCGGGCGCATAGGAGCCTCATCGTCATCATCGTCGGTAGGAGGCAGGGAGGTGAGCTGCGTGGTAGGTTAGCAACTGACGCTGTGTCTAACTACAATTTTCCAATCATACCTGAAGGGTGTGCAGCTTGATCATGGACTGGAACGGCATGAACAGCAAGAGCTGGTCATCGGCACCACTCTCAACCCAATCCTTCACGCCCTCCTTCTTCGCAAGCGCGCTGGGCTTGGATGGGTCGAACAAGACCTTGACAGGACCAAAATCCTCGTCGGCGTTCAGCAGCTCGCAGCCCTTGGGCTCGATCTGGCCGGTAACGTCGCCATAGCCGCGAGGGAACTCTGCGCCTCTCCAGTTGCCTCCGCTTGAACTTCCGGACGCCTCGCCAGAGCCTGAACCGCCCTCGGAAACCTCCTTCGCCAGCCTCTTGACCACCTCTTGGAGCTTGCGGGGGTCGGCGCCCTGGACCTTCTCAATGGTCTTGCCTTCGCGGAAGATCATGAAAGTCGGGAGGGAAGTAACGCTGTAGGCGGAGGCGATCTCCTTCTGGGACTCGACGTCGATCTTGACAAAAGTGACGACATTCTTGCGGGACAGGGACGAGGAAAGCTGCTCGTAGAGGGGCGCGATAGCTTTGCAGGGACCGCACCAGTCGGCGTAGACTGGAATCCATTTGTCAGCACGTCAACTCAATCGTGGATGCATCCCGCGAGCAGCTCAATAGCCTCCTAGATGAAGAAGTAGGAACGTGGCCGGCGCGATACCGAGAGGCAATGAAGCCGCTACCACGACGCGTTGGAGCTGTCGCGGCCGTATATGGCCTCACTGGCGTCATCCAGGATGGAGAGGCAGGGGTGCAGTGACTTCGGTGGTCGGGTAGTACTCACAGTCAGCAACGACGATACGGGAGCTCGACAGGAGTTTCTGGAACTCCGCTGCCGACTTGATGTGAACCGTAGACATCTTTGCGGCTCCAAGACTGCAGGGTTCGTGTCGGTAGGTAGGATGGGAAGGTTGATGTTGATGAAGGAACTCCGAAGAAAGCTGCCCCGCGACGACGCATTGGCATGAGTGCCTGGCAGGCCGACCAACCTCCAAAGGTCCTTAGCTCGACTACCCCGCACCATGCCCTTTTAGGACTAGCCACGTCTTCTCGTGATGCACGGTGCAGGGCAAACAAATCGTCATTGTCCAACGTCCGATTACCTTTCTCTGTCCCTCAACTCATCGCAACCTTACTTTTGCTAGAATCGTTCATCAGGCACTAGATGGTTGTTTCCTAATGTATTGAAAAATCTCCCCATTATGGTACTGACTCTTAGGCTTGTTTCCGCCTACTCACAGTTGCTCTCATAACTTCTGATTGGTGCTACTGGTTCACTCAGAAGCCCAGTTGTAACATAGTTCACGATGAAAGCCGTTTGCTGTTGCTGTGTTTCCTGAAATGTTTCCAAAAGCTCGCCCGTTTGGACCTGGGCTTCATTAAGCCCATCTACGACCGCCAGATGCTTTCCCAAACGATTCTCCCTCTGTCGTTGTTCTATCGTGGCCCTCCTGCCTCACGCAGAGTGACGTTGCGAGTTTTCTTCAGTCCGCTCTATCTGACACGGACGTTTCGGGGATGGAT